TGTAAGGATTTCTTAGAACTTCATTTAGTTCTTAGAACTTCACTGAGTCCAAATCATAATCACACACGATGACTGAACCCAGGGCCTCACAGATGCTAGGCAAGCATTTCATCATTTTTTATTTTTCTAATTATTTTTGTTTTGTTAGGACTTGTCTGAAACAAGGTTTCACTATATTGACCACGCTGGCCTTGAACTCACTCTGTAGCCCTGGCTGACATAAAACCCACTGTGATCCTCCTGCCTCAGCCTCTAGAATACAGGGAGTACAGCCATGTCTGACTACACCAGGCTCTATTTTTTTAGTTTTGAGACGGTCTTGCTAAACGCCAGGCTGGCCTCAAACGTGCGATGTGTCTGCCTCAGTCTTCTGAGCAGCTGGGACTCTGAGTGCGCAGCACCCTATCCGGCTCTTAATCGCCTCTTTAAGCCGCATCTCCACACACACAGTGGCACGGCATCCGTAAGTACGAATCTGGTGGGAGGCACAGTACGGTCCACAGCACTGGATTTCTACATTATTTTAAGCAACGCTTAGTGCTGTTTCAGGTGAAGATGGCTGCAGACAGAAAAATACGCTGCCTGCTCCCAGTACTGGAGTACACTGTGAGCATGCTGGAGGCAGGGTTACCCACACCGGCTGCATTCAGCAGCCAGTGCCCGACGTGTGCCTGACTCTCAGTGCGCACGAGCCTGTCGTCGGTCACAGCGGCCACCAGTCACGGTGCCGCCTCGACGCAGCAGCGCAGTGCCAACACGTGACCTCTTACTACCGTGCAGAGCTAGGAAGCTCCAGCAGGTATTTAACAAACCGGTTTCCTTCTGATGAATGAGGTTCAAAGCCAATAGAATCACACTAACACTTCAAACTCAAAGACAAGTTTGCACTAATTTAGGGCTACTATCAAGAAACCAGCATTTCAAATCCATACCAGGTGTGGTGGTGCTCACCTGTAACACCAGCACTGAGGACACTGAGGCAGGAGGATCCCTGAGTCTGAGGACAGCCTGCACTACGCAGTGAGACTTGGTCTCCAAAAAGAAAGAAGAGTTCATGAACTCTTCATTTAATCTATCAATCAATAGATAAAAAGGACAATTCTGTTAAAAATGCAGAACCTGGAAGACACTGTTTTTCAATCACAGTGCTTGGCAAGGCAAAGCAACAGCACAGAGGCCAAGGGCGCACCTCTAAAGGGTCACTGACACCAGAGCTAGACCCGTGTACCACTCACCTGCTGCTTCTCAACAGCTCCGACCCTCGGCCTCTTCAACGTAAGAGGGTTAGCACTACCACAAGCACATAGAGGGTTACCTACAGGCAGGGATGTCTGAGCGCGCCTGTAACCTCAGAATTTGAGTTTAACCCTAGTGTAACTCTCATCTCCTAAGAAGTATTTCTTGATCTTTTCCACCTATAGCAAGCTGTTCTCTTGATTTCTGATTCCAGCCTTCCTTTTCATCTGTCCACTCATCCATATTTACTCATACTTTATAGTTATAAAGCAATGAACACAACGGACAAAATCCTCTGCCCTCACAGGGCTTACACTCTGGTGCAGGGAACTAGACAATAAACAGAATATAGGCGATAGATCTTAGATGAAGCACTAAGGAGAAAATAAGCAGACCGTTTGCGTGTTGTGTGCGTGCACGCACGTGTGTCAGGGAACGGGGGAATGGATTTCAGGCCGGCCATACTGAGAATGTACCCTTCCACTCAAAGTCTGAGTAACGTGGGCGAGCACATACAAGGGATGCCCCTGCTGAGATGGGGAAGGAAAAGTCTGGTTAGAGTGAGCCCAAGAGAGAACAGAAACTAGAAACAGCAAACACAGACAACATCTTTAATGGGTTTCGCTGTTTAATTATGGAGAGAAAATGGGTAGAGCTAGAGAGGAAAGTGACCCCCAAAAGATTTTATTTTCCACTTAAAGAGAGCCAAAGACATGTTTATTTGCTGAAAGAAAAAGGGACAATGCCATGTATTTGTGTGAATCCGCCCAAAAGGTTCAAAGATTGAAAATACTGACAGGGGATCAGGTAGCAGTTTAGGAATTAACACCATCTGGCAGCTCTGCAGCAGGCATCACTGTACTCTTCAGCTACCTGGTCTGTCAAAGGATATTATTAACTTTCTGAGAAAAAAGAGGTGCAAGGCAGAGATGAACAGAACCGGAAAAAAACTGTGTGGATCTCAGCCAACCCTAATCAAGAAACTGACTCTCTATACGTGAGAATACATTCTAAACTTCGGTGTAGAATGTTACAAAAGGCTTTCTGAAAACAAATAGGACTGATGAAACTGAGGTGGCTGTAATCCCAGCTACTCAGGAGGCCCAGGCAGGAGGACCACAAGTTTGAGACCAGGCTGAGCAACTGAGCAAAATCCTTTCTCAAAAAATAAAAAGAGCTGGGATATAGCTCGGTGGTGCAGCATTGGCCTAGCACTGCTCCAGGCCTTGGGTCCAATCCTAGTACACCCTCCCCGCAAAAACAGCACTGAGAAGGAAAAGAGATGTCTAGCCTTACCAGATAATAGGCAATGTGGCAATTTAAACATCATGAAACTTACCCTAAACAAGACATTAAAGGTGATGCGATACAGATGCCTACCTACCAAGCTGGAAACCTATTAATATCCCAACTACACTACCAACTAAACTACAAGTATCAGAAAGTCACTTAATGAAAAACTACAGCGCTGTGAAAACAGGAGGCCTGCTCTGTCAGCTGAGAAGCAATCAGTAATCACTTAATGGTTTACCCCAGTTGTCACTCAGGCAACGCACTTGTTTATATACTGACTACCTCAAGCAAAACTAGGGCAGGTATCATTTCAATCAGTTATTCCTCTATCGAATAAGTCTGATACAACTGTCACTTTTATATTTCCTGTTATATATCTTATAAAAATTAATGAGCGGGGTGTGGTGGTGCATGCCTGTAATCCTAGCACTCGGGAGGTGGAGGCAGGAAAATCACTATAAATTCAAGGCCATCATGGGCTACACAGTGAGTTCAAGGCCAACCTGAACTACATAGTGAAACTCTTGTCTCAAAATCAAAACAAAACAAAACCAAAAATGCAAGTTTTGGTCATCCTATATTTAAATAATTAGACTGGCAAGTGGTTAAAATAAAGATGATGTATATTTTCAATATTTACTGAGTACCTGCTATGTCCCAGGCATTGTAAGGAGTACATCAAAATCTTTGGATTTTTTTTTAAAGGGGGCACTGGGGATATAGCTCAGCAGCACAGCACCTGCCTGACAAGTGCAAGGTTCTGAGTTAAATTTCCAGTACCAAAAAAATAAATAAATAACAGCACTACTTGGGAAGCTAAAGCAGGAGAATCAATTTCCAGGCCAGACTGAGCAACTCTGGGTACACGGCCAGCCTGGGTTACATGGTAAGTTGAAGACCAGCCTGAAGTACACAGTGAGACTCTGTTTAAAATTTTAAAAATAATCTGGGGCATACAGATAAAAGCCCAAATTATTACCAAACTGGTCCCATATAAGAAAATACAGGTTGGGCATGGTGGCACATGCCTGTAATCCCAGCACTCAAGGCTGGGGTAGGAGGATTGCCATGCATTCAAGACCAGCTTGGACTATGTAAGTGAGTTCAAGATCAACCTGAACTATACAGTGAGGCTCTGTCTCAAAAAACCAAAAAATAACAAACAAAAAATATAAATAGGTTTTCCATATTTGGAAAGCATTCATTTTATTAACAATGAAAAAAATACCAACTGAAATGACCTCATGTATTGTTTTGCAGCCAAAGTCTATTGGAGTGGTAGTGGTGAAGAGGCCTGTACAGTTTCCTCTCTCCCTGCAACCTGTCAACTCACTCCAAGGCAAGACGCAGAAAAAGTTAAGTCAGTGTTCAGCCTCTGACCAGAAAATGCCACTTCCAGCTCTGCAAAGGAAGTAATTTAACTGGCTCAAAAAGGTAGATGAAAGCCGGGTGTGGTGGCGCATGCCTGTAATCCCAGCACTCGGGAGGCTGAGGCAGGAGG